TCTGGACCCAGAGTTTAGAAAGTTACAGAATGTTTACCCAGTGTGTAGGGGAAGGGCTCAGAGGTCACAATCTGCAGAAGTCCACACAAAAGCMGCATTTTCCAGAACATTGGAACCCAGACCTGGATACAAAATCAAGGACACTCTGCAAGAATCAGSAYCCAGGACAGGGAGAGTTCTCCTCCYCTTCCCTCTGCCAGTTAGCTATGCAGGACCTGACTATTGTCTGTTGAAATCCAAACGCCTCTGTGGAGGCTTTGGGTTAGTCTKTCTTACCAAATCCTGCTTCTGCAACACGTCTCCTGCCTGAAAACAGTTGCAGAAATTCTTCGTTTTTTAATTTAWATATGACAGCGGAATGCATTACAATTCTTATTACACATATAAAGCACATTTTTTCATGTTGCAGAAATTCTTGCTGATAATCTAAGAACAGTTATGGTGAGGGTTTCTTGGTTTCTTAATTAAGATTTTCTGTGGAGAAGGAGGGCCAATATAAGCCCACTGGCCAAGTAGGGAAAGGAATCAGGCCACTTATGCCTGATAACAAATATATTCCTGTTGTTATTGAAAAAGACAAGGGCAGGCCTTTAAAGCCAGGAGCTGGCRTGACATTGTGTCCTTGGTCATAGTGTTACTAGCAATTGGCCTGAACTGAAGCTACTCCTTTGTGGTTTCTTGTTGAATATGATTTAGCAGAACGCCAATAACATTTTGATCAGGACAAAAACAAAACAAAACCAGAAAACAACCTCCTTGATTATGTCTGAGGATGACAAAAACCAAAAYAGTCCCCCAAACATCTCCCTTTTTTGGCTAAATATGCCACCTCTTTACCAATTACAACTCTGGCCTTATTTTCTTCTATCTCTGAGATAAAATTAATCATGGAATCTTGTTTTTTGACAGCATTCAATTCAGAGCAAAACCCCTGCTCCAAATTCATCTTAAATCCATATTTTCTCATTTCTTCCTAACAATTACTAACATGCCTGTAGTTCTGTATCTCCTTGTTGCAGAGACAACTCTGACTACAACTCTATTAATGGTGAATTTGGCCTGAAGGGCAATGACATTACTACTTGCTCAATATTAGTCATTATTGGTTTATGTCCTTATTAATTTTGATACATTACTAATAGTAGCTGTTTTGTTATAATAGTTAATATAAAAATTGTCTATCAAGCTCTTAAAGAGCTTTATTTAAAGATTACATGCAAGTAAGAAGCATTATTTTGACAGTACTTTTAAAGTACAGCATTTTAAACACTATTTTACTTATCTGTGGAGTAWGTATGGATGGGAAGTTGTCAAAAGAAAAGACAGAGACTGATATTATACAGGAATTATAAAGTGATTATAAAGTTATCATTTAAATGGGAAGCTTTTAAAATGCATATATTCCAAAGAGGGCTGAGGAACACTTCCCCAGGAAACAGGAACTTCATATAATTACCTTAGGACAAGAGACTATATGTARATAATAGCTTAATAAACTCTTACTCTGCCTTTTTAAATTGGTAATGTGGGAGAAAGTTGTCCATGTATTGAAATCACTAGTCAAGAGATCCAGGGCAGGTTGTACTAATTAATCCCCAGGAAATTACACTTAGGCTAAAACCAAGAATGCTAGTGATTAGTTACTTGGATATTTCATACCTAACACTTTCCAATTCAAGATATAGAAAGCTTAAGCAGACTTTATTAAAATTACATGTGGAAGTTCCCTGCTGAACTCATCTGGGCATGAGTTCTGAAGAGCTACTCAAATATGCCTTTTCCCTTTGAATGAATCCATGTCCCCAAGCAAAAATTAACTCTATCAAGTTAGAGAGAAGATTATTTTCTTAAGTAAACAAAGACCTAAAAAAAGACAATGTGAAACACAGGAAATTATTGCAAGAATTTGTTACTTGTAGCAGCAGGATTTTTGTAGAATCTTTAGGATTTTCACTCACTGGTTTCGTTG